CAAAATATTTGTAAATGAAAATGAGAAAAAATAAGAATTCTAATTGAATGAAAACAAAATCTATTAATTAATACGAGAATTAAAAAACATTATAAATGCACAATAATAATGACTTCATTGATAATATACTCTTATTTTTCATTACAGTAATTTTTATATAAAAATGTATAGAAAGGATATATTAAAATAATGCGGGAAACAGTGTGTCCTTACATTTTTTTTAAATGAAGTTCTTTAATTGCTTCTTGCATTCATTATTTAGTACCGATATTAATATTTCATTATTTTACATATAGTGTAGCATTTACTCGATATTCATCGTATTCATGCACTGGATTATATTTTATTTATCTTTTCTTGTCAATCTACTCTGTCACACCTCGAAATCAGGTTCGTCCAGTAGAAGAATACAGCTAATTAGAAAAGCTCATATGTACATACATCCACATATATATATATATATATAATGTTTCATATGATATTTCTAATGTTACTTATATATTATGTTTATTTTCGTTTTATACATATTAATGAGTTAGGCAATTGATTTCAATTCTAATTTTTAAGTACTATTAACATAAATTTCATGTGCATATTTACACCTTCGCTTTCAATTACAATAATTATATAAATATGAAAATAGATGATATTGTTTATCACATTTAAAATAACTGAAAAAATAGTTTTATGAAAATTTGGTTTAACTTCTACTTAATACATATATGTTTAAAATAAATGAAATAGTAATGTTTATTACATAACTGTTAAAACTGTTTCTTAAAAAAATTTATATTTTTTAATTTTATGTATATAAAACTTACAAAAAAAAATGGAACAATAACAACAATTAATATTGTATAAGAATAATATACTCCAGGTCTACTATTAATAACAATTCCAACTCCACAATATATTTACACTGTTTACACAACTACTTACATATAATATAAATACATTGGCATCTAAATTATGTTCTCTTTAATGATACAAGTAATGTAAGACATGTGCCCCATACATCCACAGCAATTAATAAGACTAAATTGAATAAAATTAATGTAATGCCCACTCTACATATGCAATTATCTAGTAAAAAAATACGAAGTGGTACTCTCGAAAGGCAATGAAACTTTAATTTCAAAAGTACTAAAAGGAACAAATTCTATTTCTGAGTAATGTTGCGGCACACGACACGAAGCTTTAACTAAAATGCAAAGGGTTATGTTTTTTTGGCAACAGCATCACAATGTACAAAGTGTCCTCTGCCACAGGAACATAAGAGGAAAGAAGAAAGGGAAAAAAGTAAATAGCTTCCGTGAGCTCGTGTTAAAATTTAAAACACTCACTATCACGTTTCTCGCTCTTGGTTTTTATGTGTGCAGCCACATATCCACTTGCGCAAACGAGCACAAAAAGCAGTCCCCTCTCTCTCTTTCTCTCTTCTCTCTAGCTCTCGCGACATGAAAATATGCACACGAAAATATGTATTTATATATATTTCGTTATTTCTCTATATGTTTTGTCTATGTTTCTCGCTCTATTTGCATCACTTATAATACTTTATATACTAGTTAGTTAATCTTGCAATCATGGGCTGCGTATTATATTCATTAATATTGTCAGTAAATTCGAATTTATTCGAAATTATATAATATATCATTTTATTTTAGCAAAATTTTATTTTGCAAAAATATTAATATACAATTATGATAAACTAATGACAACTGATAATTAAATAAAAACTCCATAATAAAACTTTTGAAGTAAAAACTATTTTTTATCTATAATAACTAATTTATTGTTCAAAATGAATAAAAATTTTTATATTTCATAACTTCAAATAATGTAATTGTTGTAATTTAAATAATGTAATGTAAATCATTCAATACTTTCTAACATTTGTGTTTTAAAATTTTAGATCTTCTTATATCTCTTTTCAAGAATTAAAACAATTTACAATAATACTATCAAACTTTTAAAAAGATTGTGTTCAATTTAACATATGTTTATATATGTTATTATATATTATTATTATATAATATATGTTAATATAAATTCAAAATAAATCATATTTAATAATAGAAAACAATAATTATTTCTTTATTTTAAACATACGTACTTATTTGTTCATACATTATTATATTTAATTTTGAAAGATAAAAATTGTTACTTGTAGTTGTTGTACCGTTAATAAAAAAAATACACTTACTTATTTAATATAGAAAATATTATTTCCAGGAACTTACCAATCTGACTATTTATTTTATTGATATTATATAGCATAGCATAGTTGTTAAAATATAAACATAAAACATTTAATCTTATTTTTGTATATATGAAGGTTTTTATTAATATATTATTATTTGACTTAGCTTTTAAATCATTTCATTTATAATATAAATTATAGAAATTAAATAAGAATATAAATATATTCAATATATATTTCAATATGTATTGAAAATTAATTTATTAGAGATACGCTCTAAATCCTCAAAATCTGTAATAATGAATCCACCGATCATTTTATTAAAAGCTGTAATTTTTTGCTCAGACAAACTCTATTCAAAAGTTCTATTAATATTATATATTATTAATTTTTTTTATTACATGTATTTTCATATAACTAGAAATACATACGCGTACATAATATACATTACAACACAAAATTTTCTTCTTCTCATTATTCTTTTATTTTCCTCTCCCTTTCCAGGATGTACATAAGCAGAAAACAAAAGATATAATAGGTTACAAAATTAATAAGCTCGTACTCTCATTATATTAGTATATTATTATGTTATTACCGGATGTTGAATTTTCCATCATATTTTATCTCCCTTTTTCCTTCGCTCTTTCACCTTTTCTATCAGTCGTGTTTCATATTTCATTCACTGCTTACATGAATCTCTTTATTTATTATTATCATCATTGTTTATTCAAATTATGAAGGGCATTGATACTATCTTAACATAAAAGAATAAATTTCATTTTTCAAATAGATATTTTTAAACTAAACATTACTTTTAAAACGGCACATTTTGCGGTTCGATCAAGTTTGAATTCCTTATACACATAAAATTATACTCAAGAGCTAATCATTTATATTTTTTAACTTTTTATTAAAATTGGTTAGATGGTACGACTTCCTCAAAAATAATTGTAATTATTAAATTCAGAAATCTTTCTACTTGTTCAAATTTTAAATAAAAAATTTATGAATATAAAATATTTACAATATATAACAAAAATGAGTATATTTAATATATGATATAATAAAAATTATTCCTTAAACTTTTGTCCGTAAACTCTAATACAATTATTAATATTACAATAAAATGAATTACATAAAAAATATATAATAACAATAAATTAAATTAAATTATTTGATAGTTATTTGATAATCTTATTTTTAAATTCAGAATAAATAAAATTATTAGTTCTGAATATGTATATTGCAATAAATCTAATAGCAGCTAACTAATTATCCATATATTTTATTAGATAAATTTAAATATTTTGTGCTACATGTCTGAAACATAAATTCAAAATATCGAAGAATTAAAATTATATTGCAAGGTTTTTCTTCTCTCTTCCTTTCATTGAAAAAAATTATTTCTTTTGCGATGATGTTTTATACCCTCTATATTTTTTTATTAAATTATTTCTTTCTATTATTCATAGTCACCGATATATATTATATACGTGTTTCTCGTTAACCTCTATTGATATAAATTCTAAATTTCAATGATTCATTCAATACTATAAAATTAACATTATTGATAAAATATAATTTATTGATGATAATATGTATAATTGTGATTTTAAAAAAAAAAAAATTCTTTTGTTACGCAGTAATTTTTTTTTATTCGTATAAAAGCATTTCTTTTATTTAAGAGAAATAAAAAATCAATATAGTTATTTTAATTGGTACGTCTAAAACAGAATATAAAATTTAATTCAAATAATGTAGTCCATGAAGAGTGTAATAATGTCCACAATTAAATTAAGTAATTTAATTTTATTGCTATGCTCAGCCATTGATTTAACTGAAAAGAAAATGAATTAGCTAATAAAAATTATTCACTTATCAAACGAAAAAATCATGATCGTATAAATTGGAGAAGGAAATGAATAATTCATTTGCAAATAAAAACATGTTAATTTAAATATCGATGCTACCGTAAATAAAACATCAATGTACTAAAAATAATTCAAGATCGAAAATTCTGTACTTTTGTGTATATGTCAAAATCTTTAACTACGTTATTAGAACAAATTTTTTAGCTGCAATGAACCTACTCAGACTTTTTCTATATTTAATATTTTCAGTAACAATTGTACTAATTTTCTCTCTCACTCATTTATTTCTCATTCTTTTAACTTTTTTTACGCAGATTAACTAATGTATAAGTACTACTAACTCATCGACTGTTTAATAGCCTTTTCTCTCAATAGATTGGCTTCTCTCTCGGCCTCTCATCAGGCTACAATGCAATTTTTAGTATCGGAAATATAGATTATTATGTTGAACAAAAAATTCTACTTAAATAAATATTCAATAAATACGATGTTAATTAAAAATTTCGATTTTCTATGATAATTTTGAACATGACGCCACCTTTGTACGCAGCTTAAAGTAACTATTAATTGGCAAGTTAATTAAATTATTCAAAATCCATTTATTAGCATATTATTTTTGTCTTTATATATAAATAATTGTTTTCTAATAATAATACAAGTCTAAGGAAAAATCTACTTTTATAATTTGCTAATAAATTTCTAATTTCTAAATTTCACGTATTCATATAATATATATAAATTATATATTCTATATTACGATCCGTTTAAAAATTATTATTATTATTACTAATATACTTCTTATTTTTGTTTTTTAAGTTACTGTGGTTACTATTATTTTTTTATAGTATATTTAGTTTAAAATACTTTTATATATTAATATTTATTATAATGCAATTTTATATAAAATTCTATTCATTCTATTCCAGGAAGTCCTGAACCTATTGTAAAGTGGTTCGTTAATGGAAAAATAAAGAATGATGATTCTTACGAGAGTACAGCTGGTGATGTGATTGAAAAAAAGTAAGAAACTTGATATTATTCCTAAGCTGTTATATACTTAATATTTTTAATAATTATTATATTATATTATTTTATAATATATTAAAATTTATATATATAATAAATTTAAAAACTTAATAAAAATACAACTATCTATTAATATTAAGTCGCATAATTGTTTAATTTATTTATAAGCATGATATTAATCGCAAATGTGTAAATGAATAATAACTTCAATTATTAAAAAAGAAATTTTGAAGATATAGATCTACCATCATTTGAACTTGAACTAGAATACTAATAATAAAATAGAAGGAAACTATAATATTAATAATCAAATAATATGACCCACTTAAGAAATGATTCATAATATATATAATATTTTAAATATATCCAATTGATACATATAGTTTTTAAATAATTAAGTATATTTCATAGTTTTGAAACTTCAAAATATATATAAAAATTTATTGAGCTGTACTTTTTCTTTTTCGCGGTAAGTAAATAACTGTATTTATTTGCTTCTTGTTATTATTTTTGTCATTACAATATCATATGTAATATATAATTGTTTTACTTAGTCTATTGTTAGTTTTAAAATTTGTAGTACAATTTTTATAAATGCATGACATAAAAAATTCTATAAAATTTCCATTCCATAAAATTAAATATAAATTATCATTGTAGAATGTATTTTACTAAAAAATAATATGTCATTCCTATTGATAATCTTAATGTTAATAACGAATTCCTATTGATAAACAAATAAATTGATATATAACTAGTATAATAAAAGATTTATCTTTACTATCAATATATTTCTTATAATTCTAGGTTAACAGTAAAGTCACTGAACAGGTCACATCTCTTCTCTAATTTTACGTGTCAAGCACAAAATACACTTCTTGTAGAACCAAAGAAAATATCCATGATACTCGATTTAAACTGTAAGTAAAAAAATATTATTATTTTTAGTACTCATAATTAAAAAAAAATATTTAACTATAATTATATATTTACAAATATATTAATTTTACTATTCAGAAATGAGTGAATATATAGATTTATTTTCATGCCTGCACAAATACTATCTTCAAATTTTTTGTATTTTATAGTTATTTTATATAATATATTCGATTCGGTTACAAAATAATAAATTCTAAACGAGAAAACTAGAATAGTTTATTAAAGAAATCTGAACGTTAATATAAAGCAACAAAGTATTTTTTCGTCAGAAAAATAATTAGATACTACACGCATAAATGTAGAGTGCTAGACGTTATTTTTGTATACTACTTTGTATAATAAGTATAAAATGATACTCTAATGATGTAAATAAATATTTATAAATCCGATTATAGAAAATAAAAATTTTTTAAAATGTTTTTTAATTTATTGAACAATTTAATTAAAATTCAGAATATAAAATTCAGCTATTTCCAATTAACATTATAACAATTGAAATTATTAAACTTCTGCATCTCATAACTAATTAAAAACTTTGTAATATAATTAAAATAACAAATTTTCTGTTGTTTTCTGTTCCTTATCAACAGTAATTTAAATGAATTGAGACAAATTAAAGACTTGCTATTAGAAAGTTTAAAAGTTTAGTTACAGAAGATCTTCCGAATTAAATTGTGTAGAGGCTTAGTGGCAGTGTGAACAAAAATTTGTCTATATTCGATTCTTCGATTTTTTATATGCAAGATAAAAGTCTATTTCAATTATAAAATTCAAATCAAAATGTAAATAATCTAGGTATGCAGCCTGTACTTCTTAATTCATTTTATACTGAAAAATATATAGCTATTGATATTATTCTCTGCAAAATACCTACATAATAAGAAAATCATTAGGTGATTATAAGCATCTACATTGAAAACATAAAAGTATATGTTTTATTCAAAATATCATTTTACACTATACCTAGTAATGATTCATATTTAATACAGTGTCAATTTTCAATTATAGTAATAAATAACTTCGAATATTTGAATGCTAATTGTCAAATAATAACTATAATGAGATAATTTATCATTTACATATTACATATAACCTTCATTATTTAATAAATAAAACATAATTTAATACGAACTACTGACTATAAAATACAAAATAGTATTTAATATTTATTTCTAAAATAAAAAATACTTACGATTTTAATTGATACCACTACCACTCAATAGTAACAAATTAATTTTAATAATTGATATATGAAATAATTTATATATTTATATCATATAATTTAATATCAAATAATTGTAGTCGTAAATTCTTTATATCTCAATTAATTTATTTTAAGAAATTAACAATTAGTACTATTTTATTTAAGCCGCGAAGACTGTAATGAAGTCAAAATGAAATAAAAGCAAATTCAATATATAAATATACTAACATAAATACTTATATACACGTATATATAAATGTAAAATTTAAGATATAATAAAAAGATACCAAGTTCTTTTAAATACAATTATAATTGTAATTTTTTTATTTAATTATTGTCATACTTTTGATATTGAAGCATAAAAAAATTACAGAAAATTTTTTATAAAAAACGAATCTGTAAATACATAGGTATACTTACAATTGTTATAAGTATGTTTAAAATAAAATAAATTAAAAATAAGTCTAACATTTATAACCTGTTACATACATATTATACTAATTCAAGTAACTATATCGTATTCTTCCGACTCACTTTTTTATCTTATTTCTTTTTTATAAATCCATTGGATTGACTTTTTTTCGCTGAAAAACTTGTTTTGAAACGAAATATATAACAGTGACTGAATATATATTCATTTACAATATATAATAAATGTCAATAGCATAAATTTGGATAATTAAACTTCCTCTTAATAGCAATTGCAAATTTTCCAAACATATTCACTTTGATACTCACTTTGAGTAGTCATTTAATTTCACTTTATATTGATTTCTATTTTTATTCGATGCTACTTCAGTTTCTGTAATTTTGAATAAAAGAAGCTTATTAATAATTTCCAAATATATATATTGAATATTTAATATTTATTTAGTTTTAAATTAATAATAAAAAAGAGTAATTATTAATCTGCATAAGCAGTTACTTTATTCATAATTACAGATATTTAAATAGAACTAAGTAAATAATATATAATAGATATAATAATATATTAATAGAAATTAAAAAAATAAAAAGGAAAAAAGCATATTAGAATAAATTATAAATCAAATTCATACTCAAATTAAAAAATTTTGAACAATAATTGATTTTCTACACTGAAGAATACAGGTTTCTTAAGATAATTTTCAAGTGACAACAAAAATATTCCAAACATTCTATTTATTATAATTCTAGTGATTATTGTGCATTATTTTTATTATGAATATATTAAATTTGCTACTTAATAATTTTTAATACAAATATAAACACAAAATCTTTAAAAGCATTGATCTGTAATATAACCGATCATAAATTTAATATAATTTTATTTGAATTATTACATTTATAACCAATGGATTTTTAAATAAATGTTTATTTATCAATAAAGTACAATTTTACGTAATAAAACACAAGGACTCATTATTTTAATTTTAATATTGATTTACTAATTGAGTTTTCATATAAAATCAGTGTCTAGATTAATATTGACCTCTTGTCGTTGTTTGTACCACAATGGTTTGTTGGATGTAATTACAGATTGTACTTTTAAGAGTATTTCAATATTTTTATTACAATATCAACAACGCTCATTACAATAAATAAAATCCATATAAAAGAAGATATATTTCTATTAATGCTTATTTATATAATTTTTAATTTAAATAATATTTATAATCTTAACAAAGAGTTAATAATTTATAATTAAAGTTTTACAAATATATACTTATTTACTGAATCGTAAAAATTGAAATACTTGACTTCATGACATTCCATTTTTTTTAAAGATAATTATTTTTATAATTTTATTATTGTGATAACATGTTATATAAAATTTAACCCTTTTTAAATGTATTTAATATTGAAGTCTATGAAAAAAATGAAATAATAAATAAATGTATTAAAAAACGAATAGGTATTTTATATGTTTGTTCAGAAAATAATTCCACAATCTGACTCGTCAGCCAAACGTGCAAAAATCAACTTAGAACAAAAAACCCACTAGATGTTGTGTGGGGTTGCCGGGCAAGTAAAGGGTTAATGCATCGATTCAATAATTAACACATAT